TGCTCTCTCGCCCCAGGAGAGAGATAGATAAAAGAGAGAGAGAGAGAGAGAGAGAGAGATAATAGTTAATAGAGAGAGATGATAGATAGATAGATAGACAGACAGACAGACAGACAGACAGACAGATAGATAGATAGTTTTTAGTGCTGGTTTAATTGGGAGTGATTTATGCCTAAAGTTAAAATAGCATCCTTCCATGCAGTGTGGAAGGATTTGAGGAAAGGAAGGAACAATAACTTTATGTCTTCTCCTGATTTTTTTTCCTTCCCCTCCCCTGCCATATGATTGATAACAATAAAGTTACTAGGTTTGGGAGTCGTAGCTTAGGGGTTTGGGAGGGTTACAAGGGGAATCCAAGAAAATAGGGACCAGGGGAAGGCTAGTCTCTTACCATTTGCAAGAGTAAGGCGGTATTCCCATGGGTTGGAGGGTTTTTTTACTTTTTTTTTTAATTGCAAGGAGACCCAGGTTCAAACTTACCATCAGCCATGGAAATTCAGCTTAGCGACTTTTGGCCAATCACTCTCTCTCTCAGCCCAACCTGTTTCATTAGTTTGTGAGGAGAGAAAAATACGGAGGAGAACGTGGTGTAGGTTGCTTTATGCTTCTGGAGGAAAGAACAAGTGGGATATAAATCCAGTGAACGAAATAATACTAATAGTTACTTATCTATGATGCAGGCTTGTGAGAGCACACAATGGGCTGGTTTTTTAAAATGGTTTGTCGAATCACCTTGGCTGATCTAGGAAGCTAGACAAGGTTAGAACTAGTTGGTTCATGGATGGGAGGCTATCAGAGAACCTTACAGCTTTAAGATAGACTGGGAATAATAATAATCAGTAACAATAACAATGCCCCCAGCAAGGCACTACCTTGATGTGGTTGTGGGGCGTTCGTGCTCTAAGGAGGATGGGAGCTAAGCCAGAGGTCCAACCATATTGGACAGGTCTCATCAGAGGAGCCAGGTGAAGAGCATCTCTCCCATGAACAATATGGTGAGACGTAATTTACAGAAACCCATACTGGATTGGTCGTTGCCCGGGTCAACAAGGACCATATTAGGTGTTCTAGTTCCTGGATATCTGGTGACAAGTGGGCTGCAGGACTCAGGACTGTTGGCTGAGCAATCAGGGCCAGCAGCTGCAGAACTATTGGAAGAAAAGTTGTTTACCTGTCACAAATATACAAAGACTAAAAACAAAGAAATAATGATCTGCTATTACAAATCAAGCCCAAAGAGAAGAGGATATCTGAAAAGAATGCACCAGTCCTAGAAAGAACAACATCCAGAATCAGAAATAACAACAGAGGCTAGCAGATCAATGTCAATTTATAATACAAAATTAAGTATTCACAGAAGTAGAATTGGAAGAACTGCAAAGGTCTACCCAGGGCAAAGAAACCAAACCCTTGCCAGAAGTAGCTCAGACTGTAGAGGCAAACTGGGGAGGGGGGTGGGGGTGGCAGTAGAGGAAGCCAGCAGAGCTATTGAATCATTTTCATTCCCAAACCAGGCACCCTCCCCTCTGCTTTCTCCTCAGAAAGAACAAAGCCCTCTAACTCAAAAACAAGAAGAATTGAAGCAAAGAATAACTCAGCATCTAGAACAGCACAAAAACAACAGAATAAGGTTGCCTGCATTGAAGCCTGTTACAAAGAAACAGCTCAAGTATTAAAAGATGCCAATACTGTAATATCAAATATAATCAGCAGCTCACTGCAAGAAACAAACCAACTGATGTACAGCACAGCTGCAGTTATAACTGAATACCTTGGGTGCAAAATCATCAAAGAAGAAAAAAAGCCAAAC